TCACAACATGCATCATCATCATACACAATGAACTGAGGTCTTCACACATTAGACAAAGGAGGGTAAGAAGAGAACCGAGTTGCGCAACTTATATTATCAATAATATGATTACAAAGAGTTTCATAGTTCCTGAGTTCACGCGCTCAACCAGCGCAACACAAATCTCTCATCCCACTGGTTAATGTGGCTTCTACACATCAGTGCCATCCCTGCAGATTACATCCGACCCAGGTAAGTAGCCACCATAGCCGAATCTCTCTTGAACACTCTCTGTTTCGGTTCTTCTCTTCTTCTATGCATGCACACTCTCTTCTCTCTCAAGGATCTACTCTGAATGCTACTCATAGAAGACTACTACTAACCCTCTAACCTATTACTAACTCGCTGGGCAGCTATGGCTGCTTTTCTTCCCCCAGCGCCAGTCTGCTCTCATCTAGCGCATCTTCATCCTCCAGCGCTGCTTCTCCTGGCTGGCGCACAAGTGCTTCAGCACTTCCACGCACAGAATGCCAGTAGAGATCTGGCGTGAAATGAGGCTGGCTGCTTCCTTTATAGTGCTGGCCTCCTCACACTGGGTCTGCATTGGCTCATTTCAGGCCTTCCTTTGTCCCAGACCCTGCATTGCATGTGTCCCAGTACTTGTCCCAATGAGGTTTGCTGCTGTTGAGGCCCTTCGGCTTGGATTTGGACTTAGACCTCTGAATCTGGACTGTTTAACAGACATAGACCAGAACTGGGACTCTGTTTATTGACTTACTTTTGAACAGGCACAACTCTGAACGAACAGACACACTTACTGCCTGAACAGACATCTACATTGTGGGAATAAACACTCTCTTTCTGCACGAAGAGGCACACTGATTTCACGTACAGACACATACCTATTTGAACAGACATTTCATGTACACCTCCTGACGAACAGGTATGACCTTCGATCATGACCCTTGGCAATGACTTCTTGCTTTAGTTTAGATGTGCCCTTTGACCAGAGAACTTGACTTTTGATCTGTTTTCACGTTTCCTGGGTCCTGGCGAGATACCCCTTCACGCTACTTTACTTTTACAAGGTTTGAATCGGGTAAAGGCCCTTTTACTCTCGCCGACCTAATTTCGAGGTCCTCTGAGAAATCAATCTTCGATCAACAATACTGATTCCCTTTTTTGCCCTCTCATACGCAGACACAATATGAGGCGCAAAATCCAATAACTCTTCTCTTGTAAACCAGCGGTCTTCACTGGGATCCTGGTATGCAAATCTGACCTTATACTGACGTTGCGATCTGCCTCTACGACCAGTGTGAAAGGTACTTTCTGCAACAATCTTATCCACGTCATACTTTCCATCCATACTTGGAGGTATTGCGGATCTGCGACTTGGAAATAGCTAATTTGTTACACAAGGTAAGAGCTTTGATGCGTGGAACACTGGATAAGTATGTAGATGCAAAGGAATCTCAATAACATACGAAGGACCATCCACATCTCGAATCACATCCAAGACCTGCCAAGGTCCTCGGTAGGCGGGTAGAAGCTTTTGAGAAATGTTCTCCTCAGGAGCAAACTCCTTAGACTTTACCCAAACCAAATCTCCTACAGCAAATTAAGAGGGTCGTCTGTGCTTATTCGCCTGTTCAATCATTTGATGTTGTGCTTTGATTATATTCCCTTTTACCTTCTCAATGTCTTTCTGATATTGAATTGCGAACTCACTTGTCCCTGGTGGAAGCTTATGCACTTGATCTGGGCTTAGACGATCAATCGGTCTACGTGGTCGCCATCCCAAATGTAAGGAGTCTTACATGTAGACAAGTGTACAGAGTTATTATAGGCACTAGCAACCTTAGGCAAATGTTCATCCCAGTCGACCTGGTCGGGACGGATATACATGTGCAATGTCTGCTGCAAGATCTTGTTCATTTGCTCAGTCTGGCCGTTAGTCTCAGGATGTCTACCTGATGACATAGTCAATTTAGAGCCATAGACATTCATTAGTTGCTGCCACTGTTCACTCGTGAACCTGGTATCTTTGTCACTTACTATAGTCAAGGGATGTCCAAAGTCTTTCACCCAGTGGTTAAAGAACTCTCGAATTACCAAATCAGTTTTTGCTTCCGAAGGTAAAGCTACAAAGACAACATACTTAGTAAAACTGTCGACGATTACCATCACGTGCGTTTTCCCATTCATGCTTTTCACCTTAGTGTCCATGAAGTCTATAGACACAGAGTCTCCGGGTCATGTCGGGATAGGCAAAGGCTTAAGCAAACCAAAGGGAGATTGTGTAGTGCTCTTATTTCGTTGGCACACTTGGCAACCTTGCACATAAGCAATGCAATCAGGCTTCATACGAGGCCAGGTATAGGAACGCAAAAGATTCTCATAGGTCTTCTTCCACCCAAAAAGGCCTTCGGTATCGTGGCATTCCCCTAAGATCGCACTCTTGATCTCTTCCACATTCGGTATGCATAGCCTATCATGCACATCAGTCCTTTCAAACAATAGGCCCTGAGTAATCTTGTAATTAGGAAACTCTGTTGGCGCTTCTTGCACACGCTTAATCATTGCGCCATAGACAGGATCAGTGGGATACGCATTCCTAATTTTTTCTTGGACATCGACACCAACATCTAAGTTCGTTACAATGGCACCGAAAAAGTCAGACCTACGACTTAACGCATCAGCAACGACGTTTTACTTCCCTTTAACTGGCTTCAGCTCAAAATCGTAGAGATCGAGTTCAGCGGCCCACCTAGTTAACTTAGGTGTCATCCAGGCCTGTGTTTTGAGCCAGCGAAGTGTTTCATGGTCTAAGTATACTTTGAAATGTCGTCCTAGAAGATAGTGTCGCCAATGATTCAAAGCTTCTCGAAGAGCGTATAACTCTCTTTCATAGGTGGAAGCGGCGACCTTCACATAAGGTAAACGACAAGATATAAATTCCACAGGACTGTAACCATGTCCATCATCTTGCTGGAGTACCGCACCTATGCCATATTGACTGGCGTCAGTAGTCACAACGAAAGGTAATGACGAATCAGCAACTTTCAAAACCGGATAATTAATCAAGCATTGCTTCAGACACTTAAATGACGATGTGCAACTTGAATCCCACTTCCAGATTGTTTCTTTCTTGAGCAATCTGTGAAGAGGCGCAGCTATCATCGTGAAGTGTTTAACGAACTTCCGATAATAGTTGGCTAACCCAAGAAACGACCGCAACTCAGTCAAAGTGCGGGGGTTCGACCAATCTCTGATTGCAGCAATCTTTGCATCCTCCGGTTTGACTCCATCTCCATCAATTACATGACCCAAATACAAGACGTGACGCTTGGCCCATTCGCACTTCTTTGGGTTCAACTTTAGATTTGCTTTACGCAATTTATTTAGCACAAGTCGAAGGTGCTCAGCGTGTTCTTTCTCATCTTTGCTGAAAATCAAAATATCATCCAAATATATTACGACAAATTTATCAAGCCACTCACGAAAGAGTTCATTCATCGTTCTTTGGAAGGTTGCAGGGGCATTCGTTGGACCAAAGGGCATAACTATGAACTCATAGTGCCCATACCTTGTCCTAAAGGCAGTCTTATATTGGTCTTCCAGTTCTACCTCAATTTGATGGTATCCAGATTTCAGATCAATCTTTGTAAACAACTTGCATCCCTGCACACGATCCAACAAATCATCTATTCGCGGCAACGGCTCAGCATTTTTCATAATCTATGCACATGCGAACGCCGCCATCTTTCTTAGGTACGAACAGCACAGGCGCACCATAGGGCGAGGAACTTAGTCTTATCCACCCCTTTTCCAGCAATTCATCAAGTTGGGTTCGCAGTTCGTCCAATTCTTGAGGTGACATACGATGGATAGCCCCCTTAGAAGGTGAACTCCCTGGAATTATGTCAATGCGATGCTTAATAGGTCTTTCCACTACACCGCTTGGGGCTTCTGCCACATCTGCGAACTCTTTCAGGATTCTTTCAATTTCTTGGGACTTGACTGCTTCCTTACTTTCACCCTCTTTCACTGGGCGCACATAGGCAACAAAGACTTGGTCATACAAGTTATGCTTCTTTACGTGGCGAGCGAACGCTGGGGCACTCATATAGTAATGAGCTAGGCTGCTTTCCTTTCCCGACTCGTGATAGAGACGAATTTTTGTTTTGCCTCCTTGCGGACTTGGGAGCCAACATTCATGGTCCCTTAGCTTTAGATCCGCATTCACAGCCTCACCCCAATCCATGCCTAACAACACATCAAAGGGCAAACTATCTTCCACCAAGAAGGTCAGAGAGTGGAGAACACGTTCCACCTTCCCCTCTGCCTCGAGCCGAAAGTATGCTTGTACCCCCTCGACGTACCGATCCATCACAATCTCACTACTATTAGCCAACTTACTTATTATGGGCTGATTCAATTTCTTAACTTTAATCCCAAGACGCAGTTTTTGCAACCCTCTCTTACTGATATAACTGCGTGTAGACCCACTGTCTATCATTCCACCTACTCTTACTTTATTTATTTCAAGATCTGCAAGGATCAACTGCCCTTTCTTTTTCTTCATTTCAGTCCAGGCTTGGCGATGAGCGGCCAACTCATCACCCACGCCAGCGAGGGATCCATCTAGAGAGATGCAAACACTTGCCACCTCTGAACAGTGCACTAGATGGGGACTGTCTTCCTCTTCAGTCTCTGCCATTGAGGCCTTCGGGTGGGAGGATTCTGGTTTTTCAACACTCGAAGCCCCGGTAGAGGCAACTGGAACCTCTCCTGGCTGTTCCCTTTTGCTCCCCTATAGTCGGGGCAATAGGGGACAATGTGGTCGGGGTCCCCACATTTAAGGCATTGATCGGCAGCTTTCCTTTCTTGCCAAACTTTTTCTGTTATTCCTAGTTTCTTCCAAGGTTCGCCTTCGGGAAGACCGGGATGAGGCGGGTAAGGTTTATCCCATTTCCCAAACCATGCGCCTCTTCCTCTACCCCAGGTGGAATAAGTACCACGGCCACCTTGCAAGGGACCGTTTCCCCTTCCTCCCACGTAGTGGCTACCTTCGCCACCACCCCTCTGGGTGCCTGAGCCTCTTCCACCACGGCCACAACCTCCTCTTCCTCGGCCGCGCCCTCTACCTTGCCGCCCTCCCCCGCGGGCTGCAACGGCCGCGTAGCTCCCCTCCTGAGCTACCGGTTCGTGGAATTCCTCGAGACCGTAATCCACTTGGTCCCAAGGGATGGTTTCCATGCCTCCTCCCTCAAAGGTTAGGAGGAGGCTGTCCTTCCCAGGGATTGACCCTGAGATGGTACGATTTTGCCACTTTCGTCCTGCTTGCAGATCTTTCCAATAGTGGCAGCAGTTAGCCTCAGTCAAGAAGCCAGCATGATCCAATGCGATCTTGCTGAACTTCTCGTACGTCATTCCTTCTTCATTTGTTCGGGGATATAGTTGGGAGCGAATATGATCGGGGAGTGCACGTGCAAAACTATTTAGAATTTGTGCGGGAGTTAAGCCATGCTCAGTGCTTTGCTGCAACAGTTCATCCATGGTTGACTTGAGTGCTGAAGTGCTTTTCCATTTCCTCTCAGGTAGATTTAACACTAACATTTCGGTTCGACGGGCCAAGTTCTTGTCCTCGAACCGTCCTCTGACGGCTTTGAGGAAGTCTTCAAGGCGAGTTTTCTGAGAATATTCTACTAATGACTCACATCCCGCTTCTTTCTGCAAAGAGATCGCAAAACTCATTCCGTCTCCCGCCATACAGGAACTAGCCATAAGCACTCTGTCCCAGTATGGGACTCGCTGTCCATAACAATATGACTCAATCGCTGCAATCCAGTGCAAAACACTCTCTTCCTTTTTACCGTTATAGGTCCAGGGCAATTTCAACTTAATCTTGTTTACCTTTCCCCCATCTCCTTCTTCACGCTGCACCCCTTTCTTCTTCTTGTCTCCATCATCTCCATCATCGCCGCCATCCCCTCCTCCACCTCCGGCTCCTTTCACGATCTTTTCGATTACTTCCGGTGTGAAGGTAGTAGTAATGTGCTCATCTAGCTTTACAATATAGGATTGGATATGCCTGTCCACATCTTGCGCTGACTTGTGCAGAAAGGTATTCCAGACGTTTTCAAACTTTGTTTGGTGAGTTTCCACCTTCTGTAGCGTCCGATTCATTGCTGCCATCTCCTTCCTTGTCTGGAGGAGAGACTCTATGAGAAGGGTGAGTTGTTCATCTGCCGCCGTTTCCTTTCCTTTCTGCGCTTCTAACGCGGTTTGTAACTTTTCACCCTCTGCCTGCAGCCTCTTTTTCTCCTCTAATTCTTGTCTCTTTGCTGCTAAGAGTTTGGTATGCAACTCATTTCTCTTTTCCTCCAGCAGTAAATCCCTTTCTGCTTTATCAGCAATAGTTGCTAGCCTGGCTATGAACACGTCTCTTTCTTCTTCCGATTCTTGAAGTTGGTCGCCGGAGTAGCCGTGCTGGTTGGCCCAATCCAATAGGGGAACCAACGGCAGGCGTACCTCACCGGTACGACTACTCTCGGGCTGATCAGTGGGTCGGCGTCGTTGCAAACTCTCCCCTTCATCCTTCTCTTCTTCTTCTTCTTCGTCTTGAATACTTTTCATTTCTTCTTCTAATTCTCTTTCCATCTTTTCTTTCAACTTCTTCTTCAGTTCTTCTTTCTGTCTTTTCTTGTCTTCTCTTTCTTTCTTTTTATCTGCCAGCCGGCGGTCAATTTCCTTCTGTTCTTCAATTGTGGGGCCCGGCTTGATCTTCCCTGACTTCAGCATCATCCGAGAGGTACAGATTCTCCCAAATCCCAAGGGAAAGAAGATGCGGAACAGGGGCCCCATAAGAACAGACAGGGCCAACAGGCCCTACATGGGATAATCGTCCATGCTGGATGTCGGCACAGGGGTAGCCTCCGCCGGTCCAACCGGCGACTATCCCAGTCAGAACACTTACTAGACTTACCTTGCGGCAATGGGGATATGCACGATTTTTTTTTATTTTTTTTTTAATTCTGAGGTGCTGCAACAACAAATACTCAATAATAATAAAATAATATTCAGACACTTCCTGTGCAACTTCTTACTGTCTGCAGGAGGTAGTAACGAATTTCTTTTTTTTTTTTGCTGTCAATCCTCCTTCGTGCAGATTCTTGCTGCCTGGCTGCTTGCTGGATCAGAATCTCGCCGCCTGTCCCTTACTTATGATTACTTTCTTAGGCCCCAGGTATAGCTTGCATGATTGTACTAACGTTTGTTGTTGTCTAGATGCAGGTTTGGACTTGGAACGCATGGATGTCAGTGCAGATATCACACATGATCAACCGGGCAATAGTACTTCGATTAAAATTTGTCTTTCTTTCTTCTTTAATTAGCCTTATAGTTGTTTATCAATATACTTGCACTGCCCTGTTCTTGCAATCTGACGTGGCCTTCAATCTCTATACATGTCGAGTTCCAGCTTCCAGTAACCTTGCGCAATCCTACCTATCAAGAGGGGTAGAGAAGGCAGCGCAGACTCTACTTACAGAACTCTGACCACTCAATCTGAAGTGACCAGACTCTGACGACATCTTACTTGGTCCAGATCCAGATCCGACTTCCAACCAGCAGCAGCAGTCACCTTCAGAGGGAGAGAGAGAGAGAGAGAGAAAAAGGTAGGGGACACACGCATGCATGCAGGTCAGGGGGCAGAGGTGCTTCTCTCTTGTTGAAGAACCTTCGATGTCGCTCCTCGTCGCGCAGCACGCTCCAGGTAAGCCCCTTCTTCTTCGGCCTACTCCCACTACTAATCCCCCTTCTTCTCTCCTCCTGACCTCCTTCCACTAATCCTCCATCACCACATCTTCGACACTCCTCCTTCTCGCCGGCCTTGATCATGCCAGCGCTATGAGTGCAACGAGCATACAGCTCCGATACCAAATTGCATGGGTCCTGGGGACCAACTCACGCAAGAGTGTTCACAACATGCATCACCATCATACACAATGAACTGTGGTCTTCACACATTAGACAAAGGAGAGGTAAGAAGAGAACCGAGTTGCGCAGCTTATATTATCAATAACATGATTACAAAGAGTGTCATAGTTCCCTGAGTTCAAGCGCTCAACCAGCGCAACACAAATCTCTCATCCCACTCGTTAATGTGGCTTCTACACATCAGTGCCATCCCTGCAGATTACATCCAACCCAGGTAAGTAGCCACCATAGCCGAATCTCTCTTGAACACTCTCTGTTTCGGTTCTTCTCTTCTTCTATGCATGCACACTCTCTTCTCTCTCA